CAAGGGGTATTAAAGTTGCAGCGAAAGCATGCCTGGACAAAGTATCACCATAATCTAACACAGATTAAAACAAAAGTTGCCTCGACCAGAGTTATTCTGCAGTGCAAAGGAAAGCCGGATTCCTGTAGAAAAAGCCAATCTTCTGCCTTTCTTTTAAATGTTAAGCTTTCATCTATGAAAATAAACAGATAATTATAAACAGTATGTTAGGTTTTGGTTTACAGGTAGTCGGTTGTAACTAAAGGGTTAACAATGAAAAAGAGCAAGCAGTGGAGGTAGGGAGCTGGACGGCCAGAAAAGTTCTCCCAGAGACGACATGAAGATGAACAACAAACTCAGGCACTGAGACTGGTGAAACAGCGAGGCACACCATGATCTCTGAGCTAAAAAAAAAAACACAACACTCAAAGTACAAAAATACCAGTAGCACAAAACACATAATCAGCTCAACCACACATGAAAAAACACTAGAAGAAACACTGAATAAAGAGACCACAGAGCACTACCGAACAAGATGGAATTATCTGGCAGAGTAGTGGAGTGAAGGCTTGTGAAGGAGCTTTTATAGTCAAGATGATGAGCCGAGTGGAGCCAGGTGTGCCTCGCCTGCTGCTGAGAGGAGAAGCCAGCCACACCTCCTGCCACTCACATACCTGCAGGAGAAATAACAGAAAGAAAAGGGGCAGAAGGCGAGAGAACCAGCACCAAAAATCGACAACAAAAACAAACAGAATGCTCTCACAGTAATGCTTTCAATATAAGGAGCCACCCTTGGGTGTGATGACAAGATAATAATAATAATAATAATAACTTTATTTATATAGCACCTTTTAAAAACACAGGTTTACAAAGTGCTTTGACAAACAGCAAGAACAAAGCAAACTAAACCAAACACAGAAAAACATTAACAACAGTAAGAATATAACAGATGCAAAATACCAAAATACCAAACACACATTTCAAATCCATGGAGGCTTGATGGTAGAAAAAAAATCAAGTTTGTAAAAGGATATTAGGTTGTAACTGCTAATTGCTGTCCACCTTCAGTGGCATTGATGTTTTACTGAGCAATGAAATACAAAAATACATCTTAAAGTCCCTTCCTACAACTTTACACTTCCTGAACTGTGGCCTTCACATGAATGCAGCATTAGGCTGGTTTACAAAAAAATCTCTTCCCTGTCTTACATACCAGTTTTTACACAACTGAGATCAATTTAGAATTCCAAAAATAGAAAGTGACTTGGCACACTCCCTTAATCAATATCCTACCTTTAAATAAAGTTTAGTAAAGTAATGAACAGGATGCACATATCAGCTGTCTGTCTGTTTATCCTCCATGGTAATTCAAATGAGTGTGTAAAGGTTATTCAACTTATTGCAATTATTGCAGAATGTTTACAATGTGATGTTTGGTCATTGCCTCCTGCACTGCTGTGTAAGGACACTAACATATAAAAGGTTATTTTTGAATCACATCTCCCACATAACATCCACAGACTCACATATATTCAAGTATAAATCTACAAGTGCCTTATCTCATGTTTAATACATGTACATGTAAGGTAACTTTCAATGAAGCTGAGACTTTCTTCACATCTGATTGAAAACTATTTCTATATTTCCTGAGTATTTGATTGACAAAGACAAATGTTTGCTCCCATTTATAAGCCGAGACATGAGACGAGGATGACGAGGAATGCTTGGTGAAAAGTGAAGACGATGGATCGTAATCACATCATGAAATATCAAAGGTGAACTGAGACAGCAGTAGGCTTAAGAAGAAGACTTATTTTTTTGTGTTCATCATCGCACAGTGTGACAATGTGAGTGAATCACTCTGTTACTTTGAACTTGTTTGTTTGAATCATACTGACCCTGTCTGTTGGTGTCTTGAACAACACAACACGAGCCACAGGCAACAAATCTACATAAATTCCTGCAGCCTACATATTGCCGTTTGATCTGCAATGTTTGCCTGAATGTAATAAATCTGTATTATCTGTGCGGTAACAGTGCCAGGCCAATTGTTTTGTCTGGTAAAGGGACATTTTAATTGGGTGTTACCAAGGTGCTATGACCAAGCTCAGTGAGCATAACCACAGGTTATCAAAAACACTAATGGAAAGTGAATCTGATGCTTTCTAACGACTTTTAGAAACAACAACTTTTAATGTTTTTTTAAACTGATAAAACAGTTTGTAATACACTGGAGGATAAGTAGACATAGATCATATTGGACAGGCAATCACATGTGATGGTTGGTAAAGAAATACAAGAGAAATCCTCTTGCCAAACACTTTAGCTCACACGTGAATGAGGCTGTAAACTCAATGCATATTGGATCTTTTGTTAACAGAGCAAGATGGACGACTGCAGATTAGGATCTTAGTATTTTTTTCTACATTTCAAAGACTTCAATTGATTCTTCAGAAAAAAAGTAGAAAGTATCTTAAGTGGTATAACCTGCAACACTAAAAAGTAGTGTAAAAACAGAGAAATGAGAGGTAGAGTCTGATGTAAACGTATACAATATTTGAATCGAAAATATTCACAGAACTCAATTTGCTGTCCAAAAAACATGGCAATAGAGCGCAGCGTGCTGAATAGCCGGAAATGTTGATGTCTTTGAAGGAGCTCATTGAAGTATGACATTCCCATTCATTTAATTTCATTCATTATACAGGAAAGATTCAAAGTAACAAGCAGTTAAAACTGGTTTACAGCAGGTTCCTGTTCTGCAGCACATAAAAAGCAAAGATCAGATCAAACAAATGACCCAGCCAACAATCAGACTAAACAGCAACACAGACAATCAGAGGTGAGGGGAAGAACTGAAACCTGAAACAAGAGAACCTGTTTCAGATCTCTTGTAAGCCAAGGCACACTGTGAAGTTTTTTTTTTTTTTGGCTGATTCTAAGATCTGTGCAAACAGGTATTTAATGGCTTATTATAGGTTAACTCTGTCACATCATCCAGTGATACAGATACATACCATAATAGTCTAAAGTGATGTAAATATTGAGTTCACATGTTTGCTATCTATCCGTTCCATTCTCATATATATATGTAAAGACTACCTGTGGGATATGAGTCGATTCAGTGTTATCCAGGGTTTTAATTGAACACTGAATACATACTGTAAATCCAATGATGACAATAACAAAAGATTAATTGTGACTTATTAAATGTAAACTAGGTGAAATTAAAATATGTGTCATCATGACGACCGTCTCTTGTGAACGTGCCTCAGTAACATTTTGGCAGTTGGTTTTTAAACCCTGTTAATCCAGTTTGTTTTGAACTGTCTTCTGTTTTCCTGTTGTATTTATTGAGGCAGAGGACTGGCAGGGACTGCGATGCAACGTCATCCAACAGTTCTTTTATCATCGTGGGGACACTTCGAATGGCACACCATCTGCCAAATGTACCTCTTTTCAACAAGGTGCCTTGCCCCCAAGATGATGAGCAACATATACTGAAGTGTGGATTGATTGATATTGCTGTAGCTATGAGGCCATAGGGCTTGATACAATGTTGTCTTGTCTCCTCCTTTCTCTCCATGTGCACTCATGTTCCATAAATGGGTGTTACTTTGTATCTAACTTTCGCGCTCTCGCATCTCACAGTTTTGGTAGTTCTGTTGTTGTTGTTGTTGTTGTTGTTGTTGTTGTGGACCGCCTGCTGCCATGCAACTTCTTGTCTCCCACTACTGTGATTATTATTGTGAGTTACACTTATGTTTATAGTTTTTATTTCTCTGGATTAGAATTGGTCTTTTATTCCAAGCAAGTTTACACATACAAGAGATATGTCTTTTTTTTTGGTGAATAAGAGTAAGAATGGAACTTGAGTATGAAAATAGGAACAAAGTAAACAGCTGCAGTACTGTAGAGAAGATTTAATGGAACAGGCTAAAATAAATAACAGAATCTGAATATATATATTTAATTGGAATATAAAAAGAGCTGCCCGGTTTGCATAGTCATGTGCAAAAGTTTAGTACATGATATAAAAAAGTGAACGTACAATGACAAATAATTCAGGTGATGTTTATTAATGTAATGTTACACATAGAATCAGTTTTATCACTTTGAGTCCAAATTTATAAATCTTATATTGCTGCTTTTCCGTCTGTCTGTCTGTCAGTCTCTCACTTTCTGCCTATCCCTCAATCCCTCTATCCTTCGGTCCATCTGGCAGATGCCTGACTACCTATAGGCCATGTGGTGTGCGTATTACTTCCTCCCTTTTTTTTCAACAGTGGATTAAATCGACTCTCTCTTATTAATATTATACAAAATAAAATCTACTTCTGCTCTTAATGTTATGTTTTTAGACGGCTGTTGTTGTGATTTCATATTATATCATGAAAAGTTGATGATATGACCTTTAATAAAAATGTATTTTGGCTTAAAAAAAAGTAGCTTTATACTATTTTAAACCATGACAATAGTAGGCTATATATTCATTTAGATTAGAAGTGGGTTAATCATATCCGAGAAACTGAATCAAATGTAAAAAAAATAATGTATTTTCCTAAATCTTGAATTGTAATTTAATGGTTTCATTAATCAAATTGAAACTACACCATGTAAAGTGGATAATCTAGTCTGGGCAATGGAAAGTCTTTTGACTGCAACCCATAGAGCTGGCTTATTTGAAGCTTAATACAGATGTCAGGCTACAGAAAAAACCTGACAATAAAGCAGATATAAAATAGAAACTAAACTTTATAACAGAAAATCATCATTTTTATTCCAACAAAAAGCGTGTAATTCCATATGGAAGATAACTGGAGGCTTTAAAAGCTATAAAAAAAAAAGGTGTATAGGCCTACTGTCTTTAATGTGTTTACCACTCAAGAAGTATATATATTTTTTTTTAAATCCCTATGCACTTATTCTCCTGAAAACACTTTGTTTACTATAGGATACAGAGATATGACCACGACTTCACATTGTATTTCTTTAAATGTTCCTGTTGTCAAATGAATTCATTTCCAATGTAACGTTGTTATTTTTTCCGGTTGCATAGCCGTTGCCATGTTTGAACGGGTCCTGGTTGGCTGAACTCAGGGGTTTAAGGAAGCTTGTCCGCCCGGCAGTCGGAGCGGAGGGGGACTCGATAGAGCAGAGCTTCAGGCGGAGTGAGTGAGCTGGTGACGGACACCGAAATATCTCAACGACGGTCGACGGCTCTCCTTAACATCTCTAATCAACGCTTGCACTGAACAATCTCTTACCGTAACTGACGTTTTGTGTCACACAGAGGTGAGTGGAACTTATGCAGCTATGTTTTGTGGCTGAATCCGTGTAGAAATAGCCGATGCTAGGAGGGTTCTATACAAAGGCTTTCTTTGCCGGAGAAAATGCCGGGGCTGCAGCAGCCGGGAGGCCCGCCTGTGTCTTTCAAGTCGCCGACCAGCAACGGTTATCCCTCCAACCTTTTAACTCCATCTTGTACATTTTTTCGCCCAAAATTGAGTAATACCGCCTTATATAGCACCGTTAACGGATACGAATTACATTCAGCGGCGATATCCACAGAGTAACGCGGATTTTGACAACCGTGGCCGGTTCCAAGAAACATGGTTGCTCTGCGGAGTCTCGTAACGCTGCACGCCGGGCATCAGTGCAGTCCGTGCCGCTAGAGGGTTACGGGGACAGTCGGGGTTGCTCGGTTGAAAACCAGTGGAGCGTCCGGAAGGGGGAAAAAACACGCGACAACAGGTTCTGTTATGTAATAGTTAAATGCTTAAAAACCTGGTGGTAGCATATGTGACAAAACTTTCTTTGTACACATGCCATGACAAACTTAAGTTGGCTGACGACAACGAAGGGCTTCGAATTTAAGCACAGTTTATGGCTTCTCGTAACGTTTTCAGCGGGGCGTCTTTTGGTGACCGTCTCCGGCTTCCTGTAGCGTCAGTCGTATTTTGCTATCGTTTCAGCAGGTTCATTTGGAGGCATTGGTTTAAGAGTTGGTGGTGTCTGGTGACTTTTAGGTTTTAGTTGTAGTCATGTTGCCCAGTCCCCCCTGCAGACTGCCGGACGGGAGGATTTAAATAAGGGGTCAGCAGGCTTGCAAAGGCTCCAGTATAGCGCCTCCTCGGCTGAGGTAATGTCCGAAAGCATGCTTCTTCAAGGTGGGCACTCCACTGTCTATTGAACACATAAAGGCTACTCACAGCAGTCTCAATGTAGATCTACGGTGCCTGGCTGTCAGGTGCATGGAGTAACATTTCCGTTTCACATGTAGCCTTAAAGATTGTCTTTTGTACTTTAAACCAGCCGCAGGGTTATAACAATGTGTCACTGATGTAAAAAAAAAAAAAACAGCGCCACTTTGTGTTTAAAAGATAAAACTTGAAACATGCCCAAAAATATTTCTAAAACTAAGATTACCCAATGTGGTGGATAATAACATAGGACATTAAGACAGTGTATGAATGAAATGCATGGGAGATACAGTTCATGTTTTTTTTTTTTTTTTTTAATAAAATGTAGAAAAAAAGCTCCACCCTCACAAAATACAAATTCACTTCAGACATTAAAGTATAAGTAATAATAATCCAATAATATGTTACCTAATGATATAATGATTGAAAGTTGTATTTCTTCCTGCAAAGGGAGTAGGCCTACTTCTACTTTTTGTTGCAGCTTGACTGATATCAGTTGGCTGATATTGGCCTGGCAAAGATATTGGCATGGGCGTAGGTGTTTTAGATATGTGCCTATATAAACACTTCTAAAACAATATTTACATTGATTTAGAAATTGTTTAAATGGTAGTGTGCACATGGACTCCAAGGTTTACAATATTGTCGGAACCAATCCAAACTAGACAAAGTTGTCTGTGTAGAAATTGTAGGGGCATTTATTACTTTTCCAATAGACAAGAGAATTGCCCCACTGTACAAACAAATATTCGGACTTGATGTATATTAGGTGTCTGTATTATTTGTCTTTATAACACACGCATTCTCAGGTGTCTCACTTTGACAGGTAGTTGGGGCAAGACATAGATTTTGTTCCCATCACAAAAATCTTAGCTCTTCTGTAGGCTACATCTATCTTTGCCTAATTAATTCCTCCAAGAAGCAAACATTAAAGCCAATGAAACTATAAGGAATTAAATAATGAATACACTTATTAAGGGACAAAAAAAGATGTCTCTGATTGTCACTTATTAGTGTACATGATGTTCAGAATGAGATTGACATTCGCTCTGTATCAGACAGTATTAAGTTATCTTCGTTCTTAAACTGATTCATATTTTTGGTACGCTCTTAGGAAATTGCTGTATTTGTCTTTTTGTAACCAGACTTAATGTATGTCATGTCAAAAAAGCAGTCACCTCCAACAACACCATTAGGTGGTAAACTTAAGCCATATCAAACTATAGACCCTGGACTTTGAGTGACAGCGAGTTGTGGCCAGAGAACTGTTTGATATTCTGGTCTGTTTGGGCTGCTTGCTGATGTTAGCATTTTAGCACAGGTTTAATTTTACCATCTGCCATCTCAACGGGTGAGATTTATTGCTGTTTAATTGAATCACCTTTCTGCACAGTATAAAGATGGGCTGCATTTTGGAATGTCTTTCTTCTTCCACAGTCCAAATTACTTGATTTCTAAGTTGTAAAACTGAATATTGCTGCTGCGACTTTGGACGTTGGTGTTTTCTCCTCGCGAGCCAAAAGGCTAACTGGCAAGACTCCTAAACTCACATTCCTCTCATGATAGGTAATAGGTCAAACTCAAAGTCTCACAAGATCAAAGATGCTAAACAGTTATAGGTAGCAGGTTAATAACTTTGAAACCTGGCCATTTGTTGTACATTTTAAACAATTCAGGCCTCTGCGGATTGATTTACTTTTTAATGTTGAGATAGGTTACAGATTCAGATTGGTTTATCTTTACACCACTAAGAAATTGCTTTATTGTCAAAGTAGTTTTTGGTAAGCAGCCTTCAATGTAGCATTGCATAGTCACAACAGAACAAGTTGCATAGTCATGTAGAAAAGGTCTATTATTTCTTCAAGATAAAAAGTGTACAACATTGTAATTGTAATCTTAGAATTTTTTCCTCTCATATTAATTTTAGCCTCAAAACTCCTTTCTCATATTAAATGAAACCACTTACATTCTTTGCTTGAGTGAAAAGTAAAATTCTTAACATTTACCTTTTTTATTGCAAGAATAAAATTGGGATATTGCTGCTTTAAAAAACTAACTTATTAAAAACTAAATAAAAACTAACTGCTCATTTTGTTACAGCTATAGTTTTTTGTTCTGTGTTGAAATACACAGCTGGATAGTGCCCATTCAAAGTTGTCCATCAAGGAGAGGTTAAAAAAAACATCCAACGAAGTGATGTAATAATGAATGTTCTGTGGACAATGCCCTACTGGTTAAACATGTTATTAACCTGCTTCTATGTTACACCGTTAACTTAATGTAATTGGTACAGAAATTAGGGCACAGCTGCCAGCCTGGCACTGGCACACTTGGTACTCTTTAATAGAGGGACAGATAAGCCACCATTTATTTTTTTTAACTTCTGTTCTTTCTCTTAACAATTTTTTTTAACAAGAAGGGCTACATTAAGTAATACAAATTATGAATAACCCAACTAACTAAAGTATACAATTGTATGCACAATTAATCTGCCGTTGGATCTGCCTGTCAATGATTCCCTGTTTCTATTTTCTTCTCAGATTGAACAATGTGATTGTGATCGGAGGCAGCAGCACTCCAATGGTCCAGGACCTCAACTTTCTTCACTAGAATGTACTTGATGAATGTACCTCCTGTCGCAGCGACGCAAACAGAATGGAGAACATGTGGCCCACCTGGAGGCTATAGCCTTCCAATCTGCTTCAATGACTCGGACCCTGAGTTGTCCACCAGAGGCACACCTATCTCAGACAAGGTCCAGATGATCATAGAGAGCCTTAGGAGTACCCAGTCCTCACTTGAGATGGGCGATGAGATTGAGGGAAATGTGCTATCAGGACAAGAAGGTCATCCCAAAGCCTGCAAGGTCGCAGTGGGTTCTTATGTGGGAGCTAAGTCCAAAACTAAAGGTCCCACTGAAAACCAACTAGAAGATGCTTCGTCCCCAATGAATCATGAGAGCAATGACTCTGACAGTGATGATTCTGTGGATAGAGGAATCGAGGAGGCCATACTGGAATACCTGAAGGAAAAGGATGGTCACAAGCGCAAGGCGGAACCCTGCTATAGCATGCTCCAATCATCCAAAATTCCCAGGAAAAACCCACCTGCTCATGAAGTTTCCAAACAGGACTCCGACAGCAACACATTTTTGATTGCTAATAATCAGTTTCCAAAAAGCCTCAAAGCTGAGACTCCACCAACACCAGCTAGTATACCTATAAAGAAGTATATTAAACAGAAAGCCTCCTTAGAAGAAAATGCTGTTAAGAAATTTGACATACCAACCAAAAGTTTAGTCTTGCCCAAAGAGCAGACACAAAGCCCCTCTAAAACCATCAGCCACATCAACAAAGTAAAGTGCCCAGTCAACTATTATTTGGAGGACGAATCAAATGATTCAAGCAGTGATGACGGCATTGAGGAAGCCATTCAAAGATACCAGTTAGAGAAAAAGGAGCAGCAAATCAAAAGGGAAGCTTTCACTCCCCACGAATTTAGTGAGGAGTCAGACTCGACAAGTGATGATGGGATTGAAGAAGCTATTCGTTGCTACCAACTTGAGCAACTCAAGGAGAAAAGTGTTCTGAAGCCATTCTTGCACCAGCCTAAATCCTTAATACATGCTGTTGGAAGTACAAGCATGGATAACGTGAAGAAAAGCAAACTGATAAAGAAAAAGACAAGAACAGAGAAAGACGTAAAAGCTGCTCAACCTCCCTCATCTGTCTCTGTACCCAAGAATACATTTTCAGAGAGTTTGAAAGCTAAAGGAAATGGATTGCTTTTTCTAAAAATGGAGAGTTCTAATGAGGCAATTACTCATACGTCTGCCCCCCCAAAGGTTAATACAACAGCAGAGCTTATGTGTGCTGAGGCAATACTGGACATTTCAAAAACTGTTATGCCTGGGCCCTTCCATCACAATGTTGGCCTTAGCAGTTATGCCCCTTCAGAATCTTCCCTGCAATCTTCCCTTGCTGATAACGGCCAAGAAGAAGAAAGTGATGGCAGCTCAATTGATAGTGAGGATGGGATTGAGCAAGAAATCAGGAAATTTCTAGAGCAGAAAGCCCAAATGCACCAACAGCCATCTGCCTCTGATAAGACTCAAGAGGTTCAAAGTATAAATCAACCAGAAGAAGCAAAGCCTGTTGCAACCCAGAAGAAACCTCTCCGATTGTCTTTGACACAGAGAAGAAAACACAGAGACAAAACCTTGTCCAACACCTCAGTGATGGAAAACAAAGTGAAAGAATCATCTCCTAAACCTTTACCTGAACACAGAAAAGAAGCAAGCCAGAGAAGTCAAAAAAACCTCGCTGGACTGCACGAGAAAGAGCAAAGTGGAGACAAAAGCAGCTCACTTGACAGTGACGAAGACCTGGACACTGCCATAAAAGACCTGCTCAAGACAAAAAAGAAGTCAAAGAAGAAAACAAGAGATTTAAAGCTGAAATCAAGGAAGTTCCTTAAGGACGAAGAACCTGTGCTAGGAAATGCTTCACAACCCAAAAAGTTAAAACAAAATCCTACTTCCAGGCGCAGTGCTTTGAAAAAGGTGCAAAAGTGTAAGGATGACATGAAAGACAAATCTGGGTTGAGTAAAAAGATAGTTTTACAACATAAGCAAGCAGACAAAATGAAAGAGCATGATACGCATAAAGTTGAAACAGCGAATTTGAAAGCGCCTGAGTGTCAAGACATCCTGCTGCTCCATACTCAGACTGCTCATCAGATCAAGGAAGATAGCAGTGCAGTAGACAGTGATGATAGCATTGAGCAAGAGATCAGAAGGTTTCTGGCTGACAAGGCTAAAGGTTCCACTGCAGAGAAAGGCAAAGATGAAGATTTATTGAGGAATGGCACTGATGTTGCTTGTAGCCCTCTTCAAAATAAAGACATTAAACAGGAATATCAGCTGGCTGAAATTCCAATAAATAGTACCAGTCCTCTCTCTGGAAGGTCTCCCCTAAGTAATCAGCCTGTTCCTACACCACAGAGTTCAGAACCAGACATCTCTTCTGTTGGAGTACAATTACGTATGTCCGCAGTCCTGCCCTGCAGCCCCAGTCTATTGCAGCCAGCGGATGGGGCCGGGGCCGCTAGAACTGAGCCAAACTGGCCTAGCGCTGGGAGAAATGACATCAATGATGTGACACCACCAACTGAAAGAGTTCGACAAGTTTTGAGCCCTAGCGCTGCTCATTCCCGCTCTGAGTCGATCAAGTGGCGTCAGAGCTTTGGACTACCCACTGACGCTAAGACTCTTAATCAGACTCAATTCCATATCACCACTTCTAGAATCAACGAGACCTCATCAGCGACTTCATCATATCAAAGTGGGGTCATCACCCCCAAATCACAGACTCCAGTCACTGTTTGGTCCTCTGCAAAGACTGGCAGAGGACATTTTCCCTGCTCTTCAGAGACGACCGTAAATACAACCCACAGATCCACTGTTTTAAATCTTTCATCTCTTGCCAGGCAGCATCCTAGGACTTCCTTTGCAAGGAGCCTTGCACCTGACCACAGGTCACAGTGTCCCATAGAGGGAGAGATCAAGAGTATGGTGCACATATCTAAGGATAAAAGCGTGTTTGTTGAACTGGAATCTAATAGGACCAACCATGTTCAGGTTCGAAGCAGGGAAAGGAGCGAGGGAAAGGAGAGAGTGGACTTGCTAAGTGAAATTAAAAGAGAAGAGGAGAGCGTGAAGATAGATGATAAAGAAGTACATCTAGAAAGAAGAGAGGATGAATTTATTGATGAGGCAGATTGTGAGTCAGGCAACAGGAGAAATCCAGAGAAGAAGCAGGGCTTTCCTACATTGTAAGTATTTACTGTTGGTCCAATTGTCCAATAGCACCATAATCCAGTTTTATATCAGTCCATTTCTTGAATGTGCCCTAATTATCATTTCAGTGTAGGATACCATCAAGCATATTCATTTATTTTTCAAAGGAACGTTCAACACCATACATCAACACAGGCATTTTTAAGTGTTTGTACATTTATACAGCTTTATAACTAACACAATTAAACGTTTTTTTTGCTTATTCGCTCATCAAACCTTTGAAAGCAATACAGTGATGCGTTTGTACAAAAGTCAGACTGTATGACCACTAATTCAGGATGCTTTATTGCAGAAAATGAGATTAATACCTTAATATGTAATAAGAAAAAGAACCGATCAATGACTCAAGATATAAGGTTACATGCATTCATAAATGGCTAGATTTCTCTATTTAATATACCAGAGGAGAACACCTTAGCAATATTAATCTTTGATGCTATTACTTAAATATACACAAATTATATCTGATATGTACTTTAAGACGTCAACGGCTTACAGTTTCTAATAACGATGCTTTGAGAAACAGAGCTTTTCACTGGACCCACTCACTTAGCTTATAAAAATGTTGCACACAAAGAGAAAAGACCAAGTTTTAAAGGACAGCTTACACTTCTTACCCTTACTCAGCCGTTTTTGTTAACCTAAGGTTAGAACAGCAGTGTGTACAGGAACAACTTCATATCTGTTCTTGACTAACTCAGACTATTATACTCCATCTTACTAAACTTTTGTTTTCCAGGCACAGTGCCTTCACTTTATTGTAAGGTATAAACAAATAACAGGAATTTTGAAGCTCTGAAGCCACTCTAACAGTCTTGTACTTACTTCTCTGACTCTGGTTTTTGTTCCGATTCGTCAAAGGCCACATTATAACTCCTCTCCATCTTAAACTTAACATTTAGTGAATTCATTTCGTTGTCATTTGTCAACATTTTCTTGAATTTCATATGTGAAAAAAAGGCTATTTATTTTTGTTTATCAAAAAAAAAAAAAAAGAAACGACTGAACATGCTGTGCATTGCCAGGTTTTGTAAATATTTTGTAAGAAATGTTCGGTGTTTTCTTTCACTCTTTCAGAAAAGAAAAAAAAAACCTTTTGCTGTGTCTTTTAAGTGCATCTGTGTAATAAAGACTGGAATCCTAGCAGCAATGTGTCTTTGTCATAAATGTACAGCTGTTTTTATGACGCTAACATTTCTGGTGGTTTTTCTTTCGAGGTGAACTTCACTGGGTTGAGTATGGACTTTGTCTTGAAGTATTTATGTTAAGTTAATCAAAGAACTGGTCTGATGTGTGTCCTGCTCTGCCTTGCTCAGGTCTTTGTCCAGTGCCATTGACCCTGGCATCACATTCAGACCTTGTATAGCTCTTACCACAGAGGAGAGGAGCAGGATGTTCAACAGGAGGTACTATGCTGAAAAAAGCAAGAAGGTACATTTATGAAGCAATGTGATACACTAACACTTGTGTTTTTTTTAAATGTCATCTTCAAGAAAAACTACAAATAACTAAGAAAAATGTAAGTGTTCAGAGTCTGAAAGTGTGAACCACATAGTCCGTGATGCTTTCAGGGGGTAGCTCCTCATGGTAGTGGACCTGTGCAGAACAAGGTGCAGCGAGTCAAAAGAAAGCTCCAGTTCATCCAAGTCAACAGGTATGTCATTGGATCTGGGTGATGTCTCCGCAGTGAGTGATCACAGTGAAATAAAAAATGTGTACAGCTCAGATTCTTTTCTATCCGTTTCAGGGAAAATGAAGCACCGGGTCATTCCAGGAAGCATGCACATGCTGTTTGATATTCCAGTCTTGGTTGTTAGATAATGGTTTTGCTAAGTTCTATAGATGTTAATGTAAGATGTTTTAGGGTCTGAATTTTCAGGCTAATAGAAATGTTTTCAGTCTTCTAAAGTGCATTGCAGTACATGGTACTCACCTTGTTCTCTCGGTTGTAACAGTCTATGAGTAATGTTTAAGTGCACAGTTCTTGTTAATGAAGCCAATAAAGCACTTCCTCTGTTTTGCACTTTTCTGGCTAAAAAGTTAATCATAACTCATGAACCCACCCTGGTATTATGCCATTGGTCCCTTATTTTTTTTTTTTTCATGTTGCTGCTCAAGTATTAGAGTTTACAAATGTCAGGTTTTTAAGTTGGTTGTGACTGTTAAAACTTAAAAGACTTGCCCATGGGCCCACAGCAGGAAGAAGATGGTTTGATTGAGAAATATTTTGACATTATTAATTCGTACTTGAGTTTCTCTGGTATTTAAGTTTCAAAGAGTTTTTGAACGTGATCACAGGAACCTCTTTCTACACAGAGAACAGTTCAAAAACCTGGATGCTTGTGTCTATCAACATAAAATAGTATGTTACAGAAATGGCTGTATCTCAAAAAACTACACAGATTTTTTTACCAAATGATTGGTATCATCGGATTCAGAACAAATTGCATTACAATAACGTGTAATCACAATCTCAATGTGAGTGAAACATTTTTCTCTGTCCTGTGGAATTATCACTGCACATTTAGAGACATAAATATTGCACACCTTCATAAGCTCTTCATTTAAAGTATTAAATGTAGAAAGAAAAGCAATTGAGTGTTGTTGGATGTTGATACGCTTTATAGCTCAATAAAACGAGAACGGTTATTAGTTTTAGATTTGAAAATAAACTCTATTTTTGTAAGTTGGAGTCTGGTTTTGTCTGTGACCTACACTTCAGCTTTAAAAGCGTTGTGCTTAATACTCCAATAACCGGCAAGCTTACTAGGTGGCGGTAAAGTACACAACGCTAATTGACGCGCGCCAGTAAACAAAGAAGAAGACGTTCCACCGCGCAGGCGCAGTTTGCTGACCTTCCAAGCAAGCATGGCAGCTCGGGCTCTGGCGAAAGGTATCTTCACATTTTATATTTTCATTTTCAGAAAGAGCAACGTTATGAGCTGAAATTTTCGGTGTGTTTGATAAAACAGTAGCCCCGCTGTCCATTTACTGCATTGTATGCACTACTGAAAGGTTAAATAGTCATTTAGTTTACTGCTTACGTATACAGCGAGCATAGAAGCTAGTCAAAAATGTTTGAAGTTTAAGCTGTTTTGACCAATATGTGTTTTTTTTTAGGTCTTTGTGGGCTGCGACCCTCTCGGGCTGTTACAATAGGATACTCCTGTGGTGGAAGTCAATATGCCACTGCAGCGTCAGTGAAAGCCCAACAACCCCAAATCGACGACCTAACAGGTAAGCTAATGGAAGTAAGCTTGAAACCATCATGTTGTGTTCGACGAACTTTAATCTATTTTATTTATTCCACACACAGAAAAGATCATAAATCAGACACTTGAGAAGCCGGACTACTTCCGTGTGTCAGAGCTCATCTCGTTGAAGGAACTGTTTGACGCCCGAGTGCATCTTGGACATAAAAAAGGCTGCAGACACAGGTATTATATTATATTATATAATATATAGATATCACTACTCCCATTGAGGGATCTTTCATTACAGCTGTACTGTGTTGTGTATAACAGGGTGTTGATCTTGTTTCTCTTCTTAATTCTTAATGTCAGTGCTTAACAACATACTTGTTACCTGGTTGTTAAAAGTCAGTCTCTGTTTATGACTTTACTGGGGAAGCACAATACATTTCAATGCATATCTATGTATGTGTATGTATATAGCACCATAAATTACAGAATTGTTAAATATTCTGCTGTTAATCCATAGGCAAAGCGTAGTATAAACATCACATTCAAAACTGTGTTCTCCAACGTGAAGGGCTACATCCTTATCTTAATATATTCATTTTTACCTGTCTTGAATTCTCTTTCTCTTTCTAAGGCTCATGGAGCCTTACCTGTATGGCTGCCGCTTTGACCAAGATATCATTGATCTCGACCAGACTGTGGAGCACCTTGAGCAAGCCCTGAACTTCACAGCACATGTGGCGTATCGTGGTGGTATCATCCTGTTTGTCAGCCGCAGGCGTCAGTTCGGCCACCTGGTGGAGAGCACCGCTAAGGACTGTGGGGAGTACGCACACACTCGGTACTGGCAAGGTGGCCTTCTCACCAACGCCCCCGTCCAGTACGGCCCAGGAGTCCGCTTACCGGACCTCATCGTCTTCTTCTCCACCCTCAACAATGTGTTCCAGCAGCACATGGGCATCAGAGATGCAGCAAAGATGAACATTCCCACAGTGGGTGTGGTGGACTCGAACTGCAACCCCAGCCTGGTGACGTACCCGGTGCCTGGCAATGATGACACTCCGGCCGCCATGGAGCTGTACTGTCGCTTATTCAAGATGACTATCAACCGCGCCAAGGACAAAAGGAAGCAAATAGAGCTACTGCAAGGCCTTTCTGCACCCCCCACAAAAAGCTCATGACATAATCTATCTAAAAAATAACAGACATTAAAAATGCATTTAAACGTCACGTCCGTGTGTGCTGGATCACTTCATCATGCATCTACATTAGTGACCGTGTTGAACATGTCAGGATGCTGTCTTTTTAAATCTGAAGTGTGTATTCCACATTTCTCAAGAACCTTTTTTTGTGATACATCATTTTCCTTGAGTTCAAATTTTACAATCTTTATTTTAATATACCAATGAAGACCATGTCAAAGAAAGTTGTCCTAATTAAGCTTTGTTACACCACTGATATAACATTAAGTACTTTCAGAAGTACCAGCTGTCGACCAAGCAGTGGACGAGATACTTTTTTCTATTGTTGAATCTAATATTGAGTATTTCCCAGTAGATTTGAAATTTAAATTTGGTTACATATAATAACACGATGTTTATATAATATATAATTAACTAGATTCTAATTTTAAGTTTGAAAAACAAGTTGTATGGCCCTCCCGATATGGTATTTTTGGGTCCGATATTGGGAAGAGAAAAAATCTGATGCCGGTATCTTTCTTCTATCTATCTGTAGAGATAAATATAGATATACACATTTATTGCATTGATCCCTCAGATGCAGTTATCAAACACTTAAGTAAAATATATATAATCCTGATAAGGTACTCATCTGGAAAGTAACTGTTCATGTACATGCATCACTGCTTGACACGCTGGAGAGTGATAATGCTTGTAATCCATATAGCACTCTATGCTGATTAAAGAGAACTGCTAGTGTCATAAAATGAAACTCTAACATTATGCTTTTTGACTGGTGAATACGTCTAGTAATATCGGCACATATCTGCAATATAAGTAGCCGAAGAATAGTGTTTTATTTCACAGAGATGTTCAGCGTCATTATGGGCTGCTCAGAAAACACTGGACAACTCCGGTGGCTGCAATGTGAGTGACGCCTGCACCCTTTACTCTTGAATTTCCATCACAAGTGTTTGCATAAATAATCACCAGAATGCAGGGAATTTAGTGTTGGATACTTAAAATGTCCTTCGGGAGTACACACACACCTTCGTCCTTTTTCTTGTGCTACACTATATTTAAATAAACTCTTGTACTGCTGTGGTAATCTATTCCCATTTTGTTACCTCTGGGCTACAACATTGCCCACCTGAAATTTGACATGCCAGAACCAGCCCTGACAAGAGGTGTAATTCTCCTTTTCAAAAAGTGGGTAAGCAAAATCACCAAAAATATGTCATTAGATGTCGGTGTATACAGTATGATAGAACAGAGGCATTCAAATGTGCCAGAAAGCTTATTATTTATTTCAAGCTACCAAATCCAGCCTATTAATGGTTTGTATTACTTTTATCCAGATTTACTGAAAGGTTCTCTGCAGTATTTATTACTTAATACGTTTTTATATGTCAGTGACTTCCAAAGGCAAACGAAAGGGTTTTAAAACCTACAATTTTAAGCCTAACACTCCACTGGTAGTACTTCGCGAAGCTGATGACGTTTGGTCGCTCTCGGATTCCGTAGCCGCACAACACAAGTGTTTCTGTAACGACCTTCTCGTCGACCACCACCAGGGAAACCACCAGGGAATCCACAGCGACCGCAAAACGGTGAGTGGGAGTGTTTCAGAGCAGGACATGACAGTGCTGCTGCAATTTATCGAACAATATCACGTAGAACTGTCAAAACAGCGTATATTCCCCTAGTATATTTTAATATGTGTTAATGCACAGACTGAGAAAATGACCCGGACTTGTGTCACATTTCCATTTGACTGTGTTTAATATAACAAACTAAAATGTTGAGGTAATCACAGTCAGTGTTTATTTTCAGGCAGATACTTGTTTCAAGCGTTTGTTTCTCGTACAGGATTAATAGTTTCCTGCTTTTGTGAACCCTTCCTTACACGTGGCAAGCAACAGGCTATTTTAAGTTTCAGGATATTTCAGGTCATGTAAATGTTTGGGTACAAACGTTTTATTACGACCCATTAATCCAATGTTTCCACATTTTTTTTCTCCATATTTCAGGATTGTAGTAGTGTCATAATGGGTGTGGTAGCTCGAAGGAACATTTGGCATTCCTGTCAGTCCTGCCAAAACTGTATTTAACTATAAGGTGTCATTTAATGTCTTATTTCACAGACGTCCCCAGATTTAGTTATATTTCTTGTAACTAATAATTGGTCGGGATAAATATTTTGAAATGTAAAAAAAAAACAAGTTAAAAATACATTCCAAGCTTCATACGTCACTGCTGCCGCCCCCTGCTGACAGCATCCTGTCCTATAATAATAGTGTGACACTAAATGACGCAATACAGAGGGTTGTATGAATGTTTGAAAACATAGCTAAAACTTTTTTTCACATTTTTTAATCATTTAGAGATTCAAATAATAAATAATAAACTATGATATGTAGGGAACATGCCCATCAAATGTCCTACAATCCAAACTCCATATTTATGCAATCTGACTCTAAAAGGAGAGACAGAAACAAAAAATGAAATTGTTTTTTCATTCAGTCTTTAACATTCTCAAATGATTATCAGCTTTCTGCACTTTAATAAAAGTAAAAATCATTTTTCTGGATTGCTCGCAAGTGGTCCACTCCAAAATCAATTTGAGAAGAAATGTCCTGGTGGAGAATAAAGTAATCGACAGAAGATTCATGCTTTTGTATGGAAATGTGTGACATGACATTTTGTAATGTTATTCATATTTTCCCAATCATAGTCACACTTGGCCTAAGCAGAATGCACCATGATATGTGACCACCATGCCAAATACTGGGCCAGATGCGGCCCTCAGCATTGCTTTATGGATTCCAATAGTTAATGGACCACAGACGATGATTGCTGGTATGTAAAACATATTTGAATTTTAGTGATTTAGTTTTGAGTAAAGCCTCCTCAGTCTTTTTGTATATTGCTCTTGTTCTTGAAGTGCAAATACAATTTTATGACGATGCATGGATTTGTCCCTCATGAGGAGCTGGTGTTGGTTTAATTGTACTCAGCATCAGGGATAAAATTGCCCCTTGAGACTCAACTCTGGCTGCAGTGTCTCTGTTGTGCAATGAGCGGGCAGACATCAAGAAACTGGCTCACGATGGCTCAAATTCCTCTGCGTGGTGGACTTTGGGTAAGGAACCGGGCCAGATATTTAGTTTATCACAAAGATGTTGTATTCCCATGAAATGACAGCCTAACAGGGATGAACCATGTTTATCTGAAGCACAAACATCAATCCTGTCAGTCAGAGAAGGACAGTGAGTGAGGTTTGCACATGTAGCAATTGCTCTCTTTTCCTGTTTATTAAACTAAGGAGTTTTTAGTTAACATGTATATTATTAGTTCAAATAGAAAGGCTAAATAATGCTTCTCATCTGTGTGTTTGTTGACACACGTCATTCCATCCCTGCATTAGTCGGGCCCCAGTTTGGCCATCGTGGTCAAGAAAGTCTAGCTCCATCACTGTGAAACATCACCAACTTTTTCTTTTTTGGGTGGTGGCTTTAAACAACATAAGAGCATCAAGGTTTGGTTTAAATTCATATGCCATATTTCTCTGGAATTGTATTTCCTTGTAGTTCCTTTCTGTTTGACTAAAAAAAAATCCTACTTTCAGCTGGTTAACTACTGTGTAATGGGAAAACATAAGTCACATTGAGATTTTTTTTGTACCAATAGAGAGCATGGACGTACCTCTGATGAACCAGATCAACCTGTGGAGCGGCAGCACTGTTGAGGTACGAGTTCATGCTAACTTGCTTGGACAAAGTTTGTTCCTGTGTTTTCTCTTGTCCAACTTTGTGACGCGTGTTTGAGCCTGTGTCACAAGGCAGCAGAGCATTAAAGCTGTAAACTATTATTTGCATTTAATTCCGGCAGCAGTTTCATTTCCTTTCATTTATTATTATTACTATATAATAACATATTAACAGGAACATTACAAAAGTTACAGTTAGACGGGCCTGACTCTGTTCGGTTCCTGTTCTGCAGCATATAAAAGCGAAGATTACATCAGATGGAAAAGCATCACAGACATTCAGAATGGAGAATGGGAGTTGGGGGTGTAACTGAAATGAACAGATATTAGTTAAATCAGTGATTACAAGAATTGTCCGTATATCAGGTGGTGTTTACTTCTAATGTAAAACGCAGGCTGTTGTCCTGATATAATAAGGGATCTCATTCCAGATTTGAATGTATGTGTGAAAAATGGATCTCTGACCATAGCTGTTTTTGTAAACCAGTATACCGGGATTACTGCTTTCTGAGAGTGATCAGGTGATGCAAATTGAGATTTGGAGTGATAGTTAACTAACGGATCAGATTTGGAAAAAAAAAATTAAACTTTGGTTAAATATGTAACTAAAACACAATGAAAAGTTTTGATCTTTTTTGTCTTCACAGGGTGGTTCTGCAGTTGTAGACAAGGACACTGGACGATATCGGATGATATATATATCTTGAAGACATGTTGAAAAAGATTTGTCTTCTCAACGACTTCAAAATAACATTTAAAATGTCAGTATGGCCAAGTAATGTTTTTTTTAATTTTTTTATGGCTACTCCGATTTTGTACTTTTTAAATTCCTTTTCTATTTTTTCCTCTGATATTGTTGTATAATATTATATGTAAAAGAGAGACCAGACAATACTTTATACATATGTTTTCTATTTCAATAAAAGGTCAATAATAAATCACAACATGTTTAACCTTTAGTTTTCATTTTTCAATAATGTGCCAAATATATTCAGCTGTGCCTCATGGATTCAAGCTGCTGTACGAGCTGACTGATACATCTGAGATCTAATGTTAGATACCATGAAATAAGATTATCCTTTGTTTTTGTTTCCACAAAGCCTACCTGACCACAAAAAATGTGATGGATTTTTTTTTGCATATTAAAGACAAAACTATGAATACAACAAATAAATGACATTTAAATGATCAAGTATATTGAATTTAAAGACCTTTAATTGTTCTTCTATCCACTAGAATCTAAATAACCAGTAATAAGGGATTCAAATATTTTGTCAATCCTATAGGAGTAGCCTGATATATTCATTACAGTTTAAATGGGGACAGTGCAGAGATAATAAGCGATCGCCTCCTTTAATAGTAGGCCTTAATAAATCTTGTTAAGTGTATGTGTGTTTTTCAGCCTGTATTTCACAGGGTGTCTTGCCTGTAACAGACTGTGTGTGTGTTTCCTCCTGGCAGGAAGAGAAGGACAGGAAGCCCAGGCGAGATTTATGTCGGCGGTGAAAAAAAAAAAAAAATCATCTCACAGCTGAGCTCTCGCATCTTTCCCTTTAAAGAAGAGCAGAGATGAGTCTCTGGGAAACAGAGGTTGTGTGTGCTCGTCGGGCTTTTTTTTTGTGTTTTTTCGGTTTCACAATTGTGTCTAGTTTGATTTGATTAGATCATGAAGAAACAGCTTTTGCGTTGATCTGCTTGGCTGGTGATCGCAGCTGGACGCCCAAGCCAAAGAGGAGGTTCTTTTTTATTATTATTATTATTATTCGGGGCTGAAGCTCTGAATATAATCGCGCATATGGAGCAGAAATCCGAAATCGCTCAATTTCAAGGACGCGTGTTTATTCCTCGGCGAAATATTTGTGTTGACAAATTGGATAACAACCCTTAAAGATCGTCACTGTGGCGTGTTGGCAGTTAACACACGAGCTAAAACAAAAAAAAAAAAAGGACACGCCACATGGCATATGATGCGATTAATAAGTAGACGCTGGTTTGGGTTATTTTGCGACGCATGGCGCACGTTTTCAGCAGGGATGTGATCTGACAGAGATCTCTGGTTTCACGCTCCGCCACATCCTCACAAAGTCGCTCATGATGCCCAGGGCTTTGCGGAGACTGGTTCATCTGGTGCTCTTCTGCCCTCTGTCTAAAGGTCTGCAGGTAGGCTATGATGTCTGATGTCTGCCTTTGTTTCCAACAGGATCCTCCTCGCCGTGTGCGTGAATGTCAAACTGCCAGAACAGAAAATCTGCGCCACGGCGAGAATTCTCGTAACACGCATCAAGAATGTCGTGAGAGATGATGTAGGGTACTTGTAAAACCGAGATATTTATCAAGTTTAAGGTCGAATGATCAGCTGGTCATTCATTTGTTGTCGTGCAGGCCTAAAAGATAAAAAAAAAAAAAAATCCAGTACATGTAAGGGGTATAACGATTAATCTGTTGGTCGATCTAACAACTAAAATCCCAAAATGTGTTAATAGTGAACAGTTTTGGTTTTGGTGTTTAATTCACATTTCAATGAGATGCTTTTTTTTTTTTTTATATATTTGTATGACAAGTGTACAGGTTTATTTTGGCTATAAGAAATTATGATGAACAGCTTTTTCAAATGTTTGACACTTTATCCAGTATGCTCTATTTGATTAATTGTTTTAAAAAAAATCGTTACACATAGATGACAAAGACTTCACCTTTTGTACAGATTTGAGTACATATCATAATGTACAGTATAGTTGCCTACCATTAGATGGGGAATATTGTTGGCTAATAATGTGTCCACAAAGAGCACATCATGTTGTGTTGATTGATTGAATGATAAATCATCATCTGTTTGTTTTTGTTTGTTTTTCATTCTCTTCCCTGCCTTGTCTCTTTCCTCAAAACCTGACAAAGAGTCGACTTCCAGCCATCAAGGTGAAGTACCTTCTCCTGGCATGGCTGGGCATCCTCATTGCCAGCTGGGTCATCTACATGCAGTACGCTTCTTACTCTGAACTGTGCCGCGGGCACGTCTGCCATATGGTCATTGTAAGTATAGCCTCTCAATATTATGACAAGCAGTGTCATAACTTCGCCAGGGTGATGATTTTCAACAGAAATTCATGGAGTAAGAATGTATGTCCTCACATTCTGCTGAATTTACATCTCTTACAGCCGTTATTGACTGAATATTGTGTTGCTAAGTTAGAGGGTTTATTTAAGAGAATATTCTAGATCAGATTTCAGTTCACCCAGGACCCCTAACAACAAGTTAAATATAAAACCCACACAGGAAGAGCAAATTCAATAATGGAGGGGAAAGCTATAATAGCACGTCAATACGACATTGATTTGTTTTCAACCCAGAAAAAGAACATGCAGTGCAATTTGTCCTAAGACTGTCCGGCTGTGCACCATTCTTATATTTCTGCACGTTGGCACTTTTCACAACGCTTTTTGACCATGAGTGAGGTGGATTTAAAAGCAGCTAATTTGTGGTCTCAGAAGTGCAGAAACCGGATCACACAGGCTGGGAGATAATGTCCCAGCTTCTAGAGTCAAATTTCGAGACACTTAAATAATATTCAAAATTTGAAAGCAAAGGAAAGAGGAAGAGACCAAGACGTCTGTCTCCTGTAAGGAGGGAGAGGAGTGACAAAAGGGTATGTGCAGCGTTCATTAGAATGAAAAGACACTGTGACATCGAGATCTCTTTATAGTTGACAATAGCTTACGACGACACGATACATTTTATTGTCCCCTTTGTGAAATTTGTCTTGGACTTCAAGTGCAGCACACATTTAACTGCATCCACAAAAGTATTATTATTTAAAAAAAACAACAACAATAAAAGCAGACAACAATTCCACGTCATATCAGTTCTGATAAACATATCACGTCCATGTTCATATTCCTGTGAACTCCAGTTTCTACTCAGTTAAAGTAAATATTCTTCACATATGTAAGCTAACTATAGTGTAGCTTTAAGCTAGCAGGAAACAATCTTTAAAGAAACAAAACATTTTCCCCGATAGTTAAATGAAATATATATGATAAGAAGTAACGGCAGTCATTGTACAATTCTGGGAAATGAAAGAATTCCAAAAAGAAAATCAAAAAAGAAAGGAATAAATTAGGATTTTTTTTTAAGTAGCCGAAAACATGTAATGCCGACATCTTCAACAGAGTACTCGTACTAAAGGGGGGAAAACTGGCAAAAGGGATTCCATATGAATCATATATTTACATAAAACAAACCTGATGGTCACAAACCTCTGTGTTAATTCTACTGCCTGCTCCAGCTTCTACATAACACGTTTATACGTCAACTACAAAAATCCACACAAAGGAATATGATGATGAGAGGATGGATTGGGAAAGTAACTGAACCGAACACTTGAGGACAACCCTCTCTCCCTCTGAGAAAACAAAGAAAATGATCACAGAAGAAGAAAAACAGAGGAGGGTCTCTGAACTACAAAATGAGTACAATCTGGAGTTTGGAGATCATCACAGTCACATATTATAACCCTCCTGTTGCACCGGGTTAGCTTCTTCCTTCATACGTGTGGCCTTTGATTCTGGGAAAACGAAACCGCCATGAGCAAAACTATTCCTGCTGTGCCCAGCTGTTTGGCCTGTTCCGAAACAGAACAAGGACTGACATTTAATGAGACATTGACAAACTCAGTGGCATGCATAATGAAAGATCAATTGTGTGACCTCATTAAAACAAATAATCCAGTCTGGACACCTTGTGTGAGTGTGGATTAACAGTTTGTGTGCCTTGGCTTTCAGACAATGTCATAAATGGAAGGCTAGCATGATTACATGAAGGGTACACACACATTTTTTGATTTGCCTGTTGCTGCTTTCTGTTTTTTGGAGTCTTGTTACAAACATGAGCGGTCTGAACTGGGTGGAGAGGTGCATTGTCGGGGCATGTGTTATTAGAAATCTGGCAGGACTTGCTTGTTTGGGGTGAAGGATTACCAGGATTTTAGCCATTTCACAGCTAAACTGTGCATATTGCAAAGCTGTCATATTCAAGCTGTTGTTGTGGTGTCATATGACAGATAAGCATGCACATCAGAGGTTAGCTGCTTTCTCCATTCTGTTTCAAAGTGCAAACTAGGAACCTCTTCTGTAGGCCTCAAAAGCCCGCTTTACAAATACACTACACACCTGAACATTTTCTGATATTGTATGGTAAGGCCATGCAAATCTGTTCAACCAGATGTTTGGGTTATTGTTTTTAGACCACAGAGAGGTGGAAGTGTTAGATGTAGATGTATTGAATTTACAAGAAGACAAGGCACGTGGAGGATAGCCTGTTTCCTGTTTCTTGTGGTTTATGCGATGCAATGTTCTGTTTGGTGTTGCAGTGTGATCACTACAGAAGAGGCATAATATCAGGCTCGTCCTGCAAGGCTCTGTGTGATCAGAGAACTCTGACTCTACAGCGCTGTATGTCCACCTCCTCCACTTATCAGGTAAAAAAAAACCACACCCATGAACTAACTAAAACACTTTCAAACCAAACCAAGAGATTATTTAAGATCCAAACACGCTTACCAGAAACAGACTTTTTAATGACTGTAAATAAATGCACGATTTATTTTGAAATATAACTCAACATGCTTGGAATTGTAAGGTTATAAAAAACTCCTTACTGCTAGCTTTGTTGTATCACATAAAAACAAACATACATACATACTGTACTCTTTATTTTTCTTACTGTTCTCACTTGTTGTATCTGTAGGTGTACAGTGGACTGTGGAAGGAGAGGCCTGTTGTAATAAAATGTGGTCTTGAGGATCCAGTGAAGATTGAAGGCGCTCCGGATTCTGTACTGAGGCAGGAGATGACTTTATTCGACAAACCCACTCGTGGAACCTCTATGGACGAATTCAAAGAGATGCTGCATAGTTTTCTTAAGGTCTATACTACAAGTATTTACATTATATAAGATATCATTCCCAATCTATCATCAAGATAATTAGTTGTTATTTTTATTTATTATGTCACCCTTCTTTTTGCAGGCTAACCTTGGTGAGCAGCCGTCTTTGAGCACCTTGGTGGACAGGGTCATCATCATGGCTGATGTCAACCAGGATGGCAAAGTGTCTCTGGCAGAGGCCAAGTCCATCTGGGCTCTTCTCCAGATAAATGAGTTCCTCCTGATGGTGGCGCTGCAGGAAAAAGAGCACACGGCCAAGCTGCTGGGCTTCTGTGGAGACTTGTATGTGACCGAGCGTGTGGGCCACAGCTCCCTCTACAGGCTGGAGGTTCCTCATTACCTGCAGCCTGTGGTCCCTGAGGCCTTGAGCTCCAGCCTGAACCACTGGCTGGCACCATCCTGGCCCCGCAGGGCGCGCATCACCATCGGCCTGCTGGAGTTTGTGGAAGAGGTCTTCCACGGCTCCTACGGGAGTTTCCTCATATGTGACGCCAGCCATCGTCATGTGGGCTACAATGCAAAGTATGACTGCAAGATGGCCAACCTGCGCAGTGTTGCCTCTGAGGCAGTCGTTAGGGGCTATTTGCGGGGGCGGCGGTGTGAGACAAACGCGGACTGTACTTACGGCCAGGACTGTACGGCCACCTGTGACCGACTCGTGAAGCAGTGTAACACCGAGGTCGTGCAGCCCAATCTTGCAAAGGTGTGTGTGCTTTTGCAGGATTATCTGCTGTTTGGAGCCCCCTCAGACCTCCGTGGAGATCTAGAGAAGCAGCTACGTACCTGTGTGACACTTAGCGGTCTGGCAAGCCAGATGGAGGTGCATCACTCACTAGTCCTTAACAACCTAAAGACATTACTGTGGAAGAAAATTTCAAACACTCAGTACTCTTGAAAGAAAACATGCTTTATTGGAGAACGGTCTCTATAAATATATTTTTTTTCGTGTTATATTGACTGTGAATAACAGGAAACTGTGAAACACTTAAAATACAATATGAAGCAAGCAGCAGATGATGCAGACTCTCTCATGAAGCCTCGTACAAGGCCCATTATGCTCTTGTTTTCATGCATTATTTTAGAAGTTCATTCATCTGTTGAGACATACTATTCTCAGGGCATTGCCTATGACTTTACTTGTAAAATAAAATGTGAACTTAATGAAGTAGTTTTGAAAATACTTTCTTAGAATACTCTCTAACATGTCCCTCATATAGACATATGGCCAAATTGGGACATGGTGTGAAAGTTTTTGTACCACTGTAAATAATAGTTGAATATTGTTGTTCCCTGTGCATTAATGAATGAGTCACAATGCAAAGGAGATATATATATAGGTAGAACTGACATGCCATGGCTAGTATTGATCCAGTATTGATCATGTATACAAATCAATCTTTCACAGATTGGAGTTGTATAGGACAATCACACATGATTTAAAATCTACAAACATGTAATCCATGAATAAACGTAAGTACGGTAATCGACTTGTTATGATAATGTGTGAATCTGTGTAAATGTATATTTGACATCATTTCCATCAGCAGAGAGAGCTGTATGCTTACTCTGCATATAAAAAGCCCTTATTTTTACTTGAGCACACTTTAATTGCACATTAGTTCTTCCCAGGCCTGGGCAAAGTAGCGACACACAAACTAACCAGTTGTCATTCCTGGTGCAGTTAGAACCTAAACACGGTAAAGTTAAGTATTCAAGTTAATAGTTATGAGGTGGTGGTGATTTGTGTATTAACCCTTTCACAAACTCCCAAATAAAGTTATCAGTCTTGAAAAAATATAACCAGAAATGTCTTTCTATTTTTTATAAAACCTTGTATTAAAGATTTAAATTCAATATAAGAATATTTGTCATAAAACGGGATTGGTCGGTTAGCTTAAATGAGTAGTTTTCATATGGAAGCTAAACCAAAACAACTTTATTACTTGACCCGACAGAAGGCTTGCTATTGTTCAGAACATGTACTTCACTCCATGCATTGCAAACTTTTCCTCCATGACAAGCACACATCCTATCGAATACTAACCATTCTCATCTGAAGAAAACTAAAGAAAGCTAAACTTCAAGCTCTAAAGATGTGCTTAAAGTCTCTTTGAGCGGAGCAGGAGCACAAATCCTTTATTTTACATTTATGGTGTGATACATGCACACACATACATGAGGACCCCCGTTGACATAATGCAATCCCAGCATCTTAATGGAAGCTTAACCCAAACCTAACCCTCACACATCATGTTTAAATCAGAATCAGAAATACTTCTTTAAGCCCAGTGGAAAATTCAAAGAAGTGAGGAACAGGAAAAAAAATAGTGGTTATAACTTGATGATAGGCCAAATAAAAGCCTTTAGCAGGACATTCGGCTGAATTTGATGCATTATTAGCCCCAATTCACACATACTCTGTGCTCGTCGTGGTCCGTCCGTGCAGCGTAGTGCACGGCTGTACTTACCTGCCACTCTCGTCAATCATTGTTTTCACACAGCGAGCGCTGCGATCCGTCTCCAGAGCGTGACACCAACTACGCTCTGATCCGTTTCAAATCGACGGAGTACGCTGCAGGCACGCGTCAAGCTGGACAGAATATGACAACCTGGACAGGATGTCAGGCAAGGAAACGCAAAGAGCATCCGGTCAATTTCTAAATAAAACACAATATACAGACTTTATCAACATTACGTCGAAACAGACAACTAATGAACAACAAATCATCCTCAAAAAGACAAAGCAACATGTTGTTTGTATGTTTTTCTCTTTATTCCTGCGTGATCTTGCAGTTCACTTCTCCTGTGATGTGGGGTAGCTCTGCTGTGCTGATGTTCCAGAAACGGATCCAGTGTGAATGGGCGCGCGCCGTCCGATGGAGCAAAATGGCATCCTCTATCATCAACCAGAGTCAGCGTTGCAGCTAGTGTTTCTCAAGCAGCTCGAAACACTAAACTTGCCTTGAGGCGCTCAGTTCCCTGGGCTGGCCACCGGGGCAAACACAAAACCACGCTTTGCATTAAAAACCATTTCCACTGTCCTGGCCTGTGCAGAGATGGGGCTCAGTTTTCCCTCAGTGCCAAATAACATCTGCTAAAACACCCCCCAGAGCTCCACTTCAACCACTACCCATTATTGGCACCCCATTTGACAACTTGGGATGGAAATTGTTAGTCCTGTAGAGAGAAGCAAAGCAAGAAACTGTTATATGCTGGTTATAAGTATCCAGAATTCTTTCCACTAAAATCCATAAAGGCAAAAGCGGTTGCGTTCTGTTTGGTACAATTATTTTCAAGGGTGGGCTTCCCTTGTGAAATATTAACTTATCAGGAACTAACTTTATGTCTACTTTGCTGAAACAGGTGTACCAGTTACTGGGTATCAGGGGCCTTAGGACCACAACATATTATCCTCAAACGGATGGGCTAACAGAGCGCTTTAACCAGACCCTGAAGCAGATGCTCTGGAAGTTTATAAACACACTGGTACAGACTGGGATCAATGGCTGCCCTATCTCGTCTTTGCATACAGAGAAGTACCTCAATAATCAACTGGTTTCTCTCCTTTTGAACTTTTGTATGGATATGAAGTTCAGGGTCATTAGCACTGTTGAGAGAGATCGGGGAGGGAGGCGAGGGGAGGGTGGGATCTGTTAATGTTGTATTTAATGTCATCCAGATGAGAGAGCGGCTGGCTGATAGGCGGCCTTGTGTTCTGGCTGCTGTGGCCGCCGCCGGCCGCTGCCAGCTCAGCAGCCAAGACATGATGCTGGCCTGTCGGCGGTGGTGAGGACGAGGAGCCCAGGCCGGCTCGAGCTGGGCGGACTGGTAGTGCTCTCACTGTTTGCCTATGGACACAGATATAGAGTCTGTTTTCTGCCCGGAATTTACCAAGATCAATTCTGGAAGAAATCTTGGAATCAGTTGAGGAAATGGTCTTATGTGTTGAAGTAAATGTCTGTACATGTTTTTATTACTATATTTCTTCTGCTATACTGTATATTTTGGACAAACTGTAACGATCGAATTTCCCTCTGGGATTAATAAAGTATTTCTGATTCTGATTCTGAAATAGAGGACCTTAGTGGGAGTGGCCTGCGATGCTGTGCATTCTGGGATTTGGTGTCTTTCATCCACATGAGCCAAAAAGACACTTTCTGCCTTTTCTCGGCCAAGAAGGCACCAACTTCAAAATGTATTTCACATTTCTACTACATATATGACCCAATGTCAACACAGATTCATGTTTCAACGGGTGAAGTATCCGTGTAACAATTAGGTCATCTCTGTGGCCCAACCTCTGATGAAATCTCTCTCTTTTGCGTGAGAGATCTTCCTCCCCCCGGGCTCAGGGGGCGGGTGAGAGACAGGGGGCGTATAATATTGAGTTAAGGCAAAATTTTCATAGACTTGAAGTAAAACTAACTTAGAATTTTATGTTATTATGACTTTTTGTTTTTACAGTGCAGAATTTTCTTGCTTTGCAAGTGGCCCTCACGTGACAAGTTTCACACCCCCAGTATGTGAAATTGCCTTTAGATTGCCTTAAGTAGCATGAATAAAGGTGTCTGTTTCCCCAACTAATTTATAAGTGAACAAGTTCCTCATGGTAGAACCTGATCTACATTATGTAGCCTAACTGCTTTCACTCACCTCTTTTATAGTATATAACTGATATAGTACCTTTAGCCCCTGTTAATCTGCAGGCGCCTGAATTACATCGACTGGGTAAATCACATTATTTTTACAACATATCATCAATGTAAGACTAGAGATTGCCTTTAAATGTTATTAATCAGTGCTAATTTTGAAGGAATTAACATATTAACATAATTTGCGAACATCACCACATATAGCTGTCATGCTCTTGGAAAAAAATGTTTCATTACAGTTTTCTCTATTATGGTGCCACAGACTCAGACTCAGACACAGACCAGTGAAATACTGGTATTGCATGTCGCCTTCAAGTGCTGTCGGAAATAAATTACTGTCCTACTCGGATACGTATCTATCAAAAGGTAAATAGCGTGGGTAAAAAATATTAAAGCACGGACAACATTTAAAATCAACCCAGATTCTAACAGCAGATAATTTTCGACCTTAATTTATCATTTTTTCGTTTCAGACAGTTTTGGTGTCAGATTGACTTACTGCAACATATTTAAGCGGTTGGTCAAACATATTGCAGGTAAAAAAAAAAAAATCAAACACATTTTTAATTGTCCTCTCTATACATATCACCACAACCTTTACTTAGTTAGCATTGCATGGGCGATAAGGCCAGGAGGTCAAATTCCTTTTTTTTGAAGTCGGAAGTTACGAGGATCTTTAAAGGCGGCATCAGCTGGGGCAGCGGGTTGGTTCTGCCTTCTGCTGCCTGTCGGAGCTGCTGCTGCTGCTTAACAACACAGGGACGATAACATAAAGACAGCAGAGGACTGTGGGTATCATTACAAGGCCGGTCGCCTCTACAAAAAGATAGCGGTGCCTGTGAGGTAAAGTCTATTATGCGTTAAATGGTAAGAAACCAAATGTTTGCTTAATGAAGTTAAACATGATAACGGCAGCTACTTTCATTTAGCTTGTTAGCTCGCCTTTGTAGCGGCTAGGTTTAGTAAATGCAGCTGATAGAGCCATGAAGTTCTCATGACAGCAGGCAAATAGCGTTAACCTGCGGCCCTAATTTATCCTTTTACTTGCAAAATAACGTTAAATGTTTTAGCATATTTCTACAGCCTGGTTGCTCACTCTATTTCAGTAAAAAAAAAAAAAAAAACTGACAGGAGGAAAATGGCTTTTAATGTTTAATTAGCCATTTGAGCTAGCAATGCGTACATTATATCAGAATAACTTTAGCTTGCCGGTGTCGTATTGCTGCACTCTATGGTACAGTTGTAGCGTATTGCACTATGAGTGATAACTATGTAAAAGTGCAAGTCGAGCTCATGAAATCATTAGGTGAGGTTGGAGAGAAAGAGGGTGTGGACACTGAGGAGCAGGTTCCCATGTCTCCCCCCTCAGCTGACCCTCCCATTATCACCATAAGTGGACGGGATGCATCCAACACCTCCATCACTTGCAAACAAAGAGGCAAAAGTCGTGGTAGGCTGCTGAAAGATGACAAGAACTCCAGTGGCAAAAACGTCCCAGATCTGTCATTGCACGGGTCTGGGGTTTCTGCTCATGCTGGGAAAAACTTGAATAGACTGGGCCAGGAGCGAACACTTCACATGACAGGCACTGGGAAGATACTGCAGGGCAAGTCGGAGAATAATGGGAACTATGTGACCAACCATCCGTCCCAAAACATCCAAGAAGTGAGTCGTGAGGAGGCACTTAAACTTGCGAGGAAGAGAAGGCCAGTGACAGTGGATACAGCCAAAGCCAAAACATCATTGGAAGCACTGAAGATCAGCATCAAGCAGCTGAAGTGGAAAGAGGTGTGTCACTTTTTTTTCTTCTTTTGTTTACTGTCTTTCTTGGAAAA